AGAGAGGCCGAGGCCTTCCCCTGAGAAGAACCTAAGAAGAGCCCTGCTGGGTCAGACCAGGGAGGGTCCATCCAGTCCAGCCTCCCGTCTCACACAGGGGCCAACCAGTTCCTCTGGAGGGCCAACAACAGGGCAGAGAGGCCCAGGCCTTCCCCTGAGAAGAACCTCAGAAGAGCCCTGCTGGGTCAGACCAGGGAGGGTCCCTCCAGTCCAGCCTCCCGTCTCACACAAGGGCCAGCCAGTCCCTCTGGAGGGCCAACAACAGGGCAGAGAGGCCCAGGCCTTCCTAAGAACCTAAGAACATCCCTGCTAGATCAGACAAATGGTCCATCTAGTCCAGCACCCTGACTCACAGTGGCCAACTGGTTCCTCTGGTCGGCATAGAGGCCGAGGCCTTCCCCTGATGTTGCCTCCTGGCTCAGGGACTCAGAGGTTCAGTGCCTCTGAATGTGGAGGTTCCCCTCCGTCACCATGGCTAGTAGACAGAACTATCCTCGAAGAATCTAACTCATCCCCCTTTAAAGCTGTTTATTCCTGTGGCCATCACTACACCCTCTCAGTGTAAAGAAGTAGGTGTGTGTCCGTGTCTGTCCCCCCCCGTATCTACCTGCTACTTGAGTTACGAAGCAGACCAATGAGGATTTCCAAGGGAGGCAAACCCGGAGGGCTGGAGACACCAGGGCGCGCGCGCGGGGATACCTGATAAAGTCGCTGTACTCCATCCAGAAGACCCCCTCGCTGCTCCCGTGGGGCATCAGCTCATGCCGCAGGTGCGCGGGCCAGTGGGGCCACTCGTCAGACCAGCTGCCGTTCCAGGAAAAACGGCCCCAGGGGTTGCGGAGTCGCAGCAGCCTGGGAGGGTGGAAAGAAGGCGGCAATGGGAACCCCCCGTACTGAATCTGGCCCCAGAGAGACCCAGACGGAAACGGCATCACCCAAGGCAGACTCCGCCTGACGTGGCTCACACGAGCGTCAGAGCCATCCATGTTCTATCGTGGTTCCGGAGGGTAGCCACGTCGGCCTGCAGGGGAACAGCCCTATCCGAGTCCGGGAGCTTTCCAGAGTTAAAGCTCCGTCGGTCAGATTCAAGTAGGAACGGAGATCTGTAAGAGGCGGTGGGGCATTTAGGGGCACTGCCCCCTCATTCATGCCCCACAACTCCTGCTGCCCCTGCCCGCTTGCCTGGCTCATTCGCTTCTGCCGCTACAGGAGAAGGAGAGCCAGCTGGCCGGTGCAGCGAATACTCGGCAAGTATGCACTCTCTGCTACAGAGCCAGTTTTGTTTAGTGGTTGAGTGTGCGGACTCTGATCTGGGAGAACCGGGTTTGATTCCCCACTCCTCCACTTGCACCTGGCTGGATGGCCTTGGGTCAGTCATAGGTTCTCTCAGAGCTGTCCTTGAAAAAGAGCTGTTTCTCTCAGAGCTCTCTCAGCCCCACCGACCTCACAGGGTGTCTGTCTGTTGTGGGGAGGGGAAGGGAAAGGAGTTTGTGAGCCGCTCTGAGACACCTTTGGGTAGTGAAGGGCCACGGGGTATGAATCCAATCTCTTCTCTCTTCTTCTACAGTAGTGGGTGGGCGAGGCCTGCCTCTACTGTAGCACGGAGCATATACTTGCTGAGTATTAATCACACTGGCGGCATTCCTTCTCTTGTAGCGGCCAAGGCAAACGAGTGTGGCTGGCAGGTAAGGAAAGACCCTTGGTCTTCTTTGCCTGACGATGGAACATCTCCCCCCCCCCTGCATTCCCAGTGCCCCACCACCCGCAATTTCCTGGCTACGCCCCTGCTAAAGAGCACTGTAAGCTCCAACCTGAGTTCGCTCACAGCTTAGAACAATGGACACCCCCACCCCCCAGGCTGAAGAGGGATGTAAGATTCTTATGTCACTACCGATGTTAATCTTCTGTCCCCAAGGACTGTCCCCTGCTCTAATCAAGATGATTAGACTGTGCACTGGTAACTTCGCATCTTTGACAAGCATTCTGTGCAACACCCCTCCCACCTTCTGACTGGGATGCAAAGACTCAGAGAGGTCTGTTCCTACTCATATCTGATGAAGGGAGCTTTGACTCTTGGAAGTTCATACCCTCAAAGCTCATATGCCAGTTTGGTGTTGTGGCTGAGAGCAGCGGACTCTAATCTGGGAGAACCTGGTTTGATTCCCCACTCCTCTTCCACATGCAGCCATCTGGGTGACCTAGGGTCAGTCACAAGTCCTCTCAGAGCTGTTCTCTCGGGAGCAGTTCTCGAAATTGCTCCCCCTGCCCCACCTCCCTCACAGGCAGTGTTCCCTCTAAGCTGAGTTAGTGTGAGCTAGCTCACAGTTTTTTTAGCCTCCGGCTCACACATTTTTGTCTTCGCTCAGGAAGGGTGGCTCCAGAGCAAACTACTTTATGCAGTACCCAAATCGCTCGCTCGCAACTTTAATGCCAGCAGCTCACAAAGTAGAACTTTTGCTCACAAGACTCCATGGCTTAGAGGGAGCATTGCTCACAGGGTGCCTGTTGTGGGAAGAGGAAGGGAAAGGAGTTTGCAAGCCACTCTGAGACTCCGAGTGAAGGGCGGGGTAGAAATCCAACTCTTCTCCTTCTTCTCCTCCTCCAAGGTGCTATCGGACTCAAATCTAACTGTTCTACATTATTTGAGTCCAGTGGCACCTTTAAAACCCACAAAGTTTTATTCATGGTATAATCTTTCTTGCGCGAGCACACTTCATCAGGTACAATGGAACAGAGCCTCCTCAACCACTCGTGTTCTGTTCCACCGTATCTGAGGAAGCACATGAAAGCTCATACCTTGAATAAAACTGTGGGTCTCACAGGGGCCCCTCGACTCAAACTCTGTCCTTCTGCTTCAGACCAACACGGCTACCAGTGTTCCCTCTAAGCTGAGCTAGTGTGAGCCAGCTCACAGTTTTTTAGCCTCCGGCTCACACATTTTTGTCTGAGCTCAGGAAGGATGGGGCTCCAGAGCAAACTAATTTAGGCAGCAGTCAAATATCTCGCTCACAACTTTAACGCCGGTGGCTCACAAAGTAGAATTTTTGCTCACAAGACTCCACGGCTTAGAGGGAACATTGACGGCCACCCCACCGGAATCTGTCTTCTGTCATGCTGACCTGAACGCCATTTCTTGGCACACTTCCAACGTGTGACACCTTTCCTCACCTGCATCCTTGCACGTCTCGCACGTCCAATATGGAGTATGCGTGCCGGGGGCGAAGGCCCATGCTCTCGTAGGCTGCGTCGTCCACCTTCATGTTGCCCCCTCCGCAAGAGGCGCCCATCAGAAAACTGGAACGTGTGTGTATGGGCGGGGGCGAGGGAGGGAGAGAGGGAGGCGGGGAGACAGAGAGAGAGACACACACAAACACACACACACGCAAAGAGAGACAAGCAGAGACAAAGAGAGTGAACACAAAGACTTGTACCACAGCAGCAGACCACTGAAGGGAACTGGCAGGGGGGGCTGTTTCATTGGTTTGAAACGTTTCCTGTCTGGCTCTGTCGGGACCATTTGGACGATAAAAGCACAAGGGAAAAGGTTGGTGTTCCCTCTAAGCTGAGTCGGTGTGAGCGAGCTCATCGTTTTTTAGCCTCCGGCTCACACATTTTTGCCTTAGCTCAGGAAGGATGACTCCAGAGCAAACTGGCTCACAACTTTAATGCCAGTGGCTCACAAAGTAGAATTTTTGCTCACAAGACTCCACAGCTTAGAGGGACGCAGTGTATCCCTCTAAGCTGAGTTAGTGTGAGCCAGCTCACCGTTTCTTAGCCTTTGGCTCACACATTTTTGTCTCTGCTCAGGAAGGAGGGCTTGAGAGCACACTAATTGATGCAGCAGCCAAAATCGCCTGCTCACAGCTTTAATGCCAGCAGCTCACAGAGCAGAATTTTTGCTCACAAGACTCCACAGCTTAGAGGGAGCCCTGGTCCAGACTCTGACCGATTAGAGGCTCCGCCCCACCCCACTTCCTGGAATGTGACACCGAGTGGACAGACTGCAAAAGCGGGAATCGCTGGGTGTGTGTGTGTGTGTTTCTTAGCCCTAATTTTATGTCGTGCCCACAGTGACTGTCGCCAGGATGCACAGGAACAGTTGCGGAGAGGAGACAGAGGAGGTCCTGCTTCCAAGGGGCATTAGAAGCAAAGCAGGCCTGCTATCTCTGCACCCCACCTGCAATGCGTCCTTTCACTTTTCTGCCAAATCACAAGCGTGGGAAGAAGACGGACACGGGAATTAGGATCCCGGCAAACGGCTCCTTCTCGTGTGGACAACCCTTACCAATTTTGCTCTACTATTCCCACCGTATGCTGTGGACAGGGCAGGCAGTTGTATGGCTTTCCTTACAAGTAAAGGGCATGGTACTGGGGGATTTTTAAATTCGGGGGAGGGGAGGAAAAAATTAAGGGGCGAGCCATAGTCAAGGCTTACAAAATTATGAATACCGTGGGAGAATTTTGGGGGGGGGGGCAAACGATACCCAGCTTTATTAAAGGTACTTTTCATAAAGCAATCCACGGTGTTCAGGCAGTTCATGGGCTACAGTCTGCAAGGCTCTACCACATGTTCCAGCTCCCCTCCTCCTCAGACCACCGAAATGTAAGGTCACTGCATAAAACCCAATGAAGAATCTTCAATTTATTCTTGGAACACGGGAAGCTTAGGGTGAGGGCGACGCTTTCACGTTTAGTATGCTCTTTAACCGCTTTTCGCAAGCCTACCCTGACTTTTAGGGGAGAACACAACTGCAGAATTCGTAATCGGAAGATTCACAATACAAAAAGTCCATCAGTGGCTATTAGCCACAAGGTATAGATAGGGACTCTGGGGCAAGGGATGCTCTGTCTTCTTGGTACTTGGGGGGGGGTCAACAGTGGGAGGGCTTCTAATGTCCTGGCCCCACTGCTGGACCTCCTGATGGCACCTGGTACTTTTGGCCACTGTGTGACACAGAGTGTTGGACTGGAGGGGCCATTGGCCTGATCCAACACTG